GATACTTTTGTTATGGAGGTTGAGCAAGGGAAGACCTATCTCCTGAGAATTATTAATGCTGCTCTCAACGATGAACTTTTCTTCGGCATTGCCGGTCACAACTTGACAGTGGTGGAGGTTGATGCAGTGTACACAAAACCATTCACTTCTGAAGCCATACTAATTGCACCTGGCCAGACCACAAATGTTTTGGTCCAAGCCAATCAAGCTTCAGGCAGATACTTCATGGCTGCTAGGCCTTTCATGGATGCTCCAATTGCCGTAGACAACAAGACAGCCACAGGAATATTCCAATACAGAGGCATCCCCAACACAGTTCTACCAAGCCTTCCTCAACTGCCTGCCTCTAATGACACAGCCTTTGCTCTAAGCTACAACAAGAAACTCAAGAGCTTAAACACTCCAAATTTTCCAGCAAATGTTCCTCTCAAAGTTGACAGAAAGCTCTTTTACACCATTGGTTTTGGAAAAGAATCATGCCCAACTTGCCTTAATGGAACAAGATTTGTTGCTTCCTTGAACAATATCTCTTTTGAGATGCCTCAGGTTGGGCTTCTACAAGCCCATTACTTCAATCTCAAAGGGGTTTTTAAAACTGACTTCCCTGATAGGCCACAAACTTCTTTCAATTACACTGGTGCACCACTTACTGCCAATCTTGGGACTTCCACAGGGACTAGGCTGAGCAAGATTGCCTTCAACTCTACAGTTGAGCTGGTGTTGCAGGACACTAATCTTCTAACGGTTGAGTCACATCCCTTCCATCTCCATGGATACAACTTCTTTGTTGTTGGAACCGGGATTGGGAATTTTGATCCTGCCAAGGACCCTGCTAAATACAACTTGGTTGATCCTGTTGAGAGAAACACAGTTGGAGTTCCCACCGGTGGTTGGACCGCCATTCGTTTTAGAGCTGATAATCCAGGTATGATAATAATTGCAACATTCATTTCGAGTAATGTTACATGTACCACATTTACTGACGATAGTGGGAAAAAAAAAAAACTATGATATCTATCATAGAGGTAGAAGTTAGAATTCACTCATATATAATAATGACAGGCTTGTGGGTTATTTACTTATTATAAGCTTTGCTTCCTTTGTTTGAATGTCTAGGCGTTTGGTTCATGCACTGTCATTTGGAGCTTCATACAGGGTGGGGATTGAAAACAGCATTCGTCGTAGAAGATGGACCAGGATCAGATCACTCTGTTCTGCCTCCGCCTAAGGATCTTCCGCCATGCTAATGACGCGTGGACTGTTCGTATCAATCTGCTTACTTACACTTCTTGCAAAAGTTGCAGAAGCTAGGTTTCTTGATGGTTACAAACAATTATCAAGGGGAAAAAGAATCAATTTGTATGAGACTGAAAATGTAATAAATTAAACCATACTATGTAACAATTGTTTTCTTTCATCATATTTCTTCTGATTAATACTGGAAATAATTTATATAACCACATCCTGTGCATTTCCACTTTTTTGAATTCTGATCATAACCTGAAAACAGTTGAAGCTTTACAAAAATCTGGAGATGGCAGACATAAGAACACTCCGAAGAGAGCAGCATCCATGTTTAAGGGAGGAGCTAACATATATATTAATATGGCTTTCCTTCACCCAGATCACATACGGAGGACAAGTTACACAGTTTAGCCAAATTAAAGGGCAACACTCGTTAAACCAAAAGATAAAAAGTCAATTACACCTTCAAAAGAAAAAAAAAAAAATAATAATAATAAAATAATAAAATAAAAGAAAGAGGGCAAGTCTAATGTGTTTGTATATGGGGCTCTAAAATTGGTGGACAGAGAGCCCAACGGCAATCTTTGTTACAGAGGGATATATGATGGCTCACGTCAATGGTAGAGGTAGAGAAATTTTGACGGAAATTGAAATGTGTCCTTGAATTGCTCAAAATTGAAACTATAAGAATAAAATTGACAAAATTGAAACTACATGGATTAAAGTGGTAAAACCGACAAACTACAAGGACTAAAAGTAAACTTTTGCCAAAATTAACACCAAATTTATAACCGTACAACTAAATGCTGAAAAAGGTACCAACTAACTCTTTGATCTCCTGGTATTTTCTCTTCAAAATGTTGAAAGAGGTATCAAATTCAAATACCCAAACCAACCGTGGCTTAACCGGAATGCAGCCGTACTAGTGTGATTTATTCAATATCATTATTTCGTAAGTATCAAGAGCTAGAATTTGTTTAAATGTTGAGTAGTCAATAACTAGCTATTGATGTAATATTATTTTCTCTCTCCTGTGTGGAAGAAGTTACCAACCTTTTTTTTATACGAGGAAAGTTACCAACTTTGTATTCTCCATAAAACATGATAATAACGTTTAAAAGGAAGAGACTAGAAAATTACTCGTCTTTAAATGAAGTTGTTAAACTAATTTGTAGTTTACTCTAACAATAATGTTGTTCTTACCTATACCAACATTTCAATTTTATCACTTCAATAAATAACACGCAACTAAATACCTAAATAGCCTGCGTATTCTACTGGATTGGTAAATTTAATTGGTTGTTGTGTTTTTCTTTCGCCAATTTCGTCCATGTGTTTAAACTACGTTAGAAAAAGTCATAAAACATTTTTAGATTAGTAAAAAGA